ATCAGAAAAGTCAGAAACATCAGAACAGTCAGAACAATCAGAACATCAAAGCAATCAGAACATCAAAACAGTCAGAACAGTCAGAAACATCAGAACCATCAGATCAATCAAAACAATCAGAACAATCAGAAACATCAGAACCATCAGAACAATCAGAACCATCAGAACATCAGAACAATCAGAACAATCAGAACCATCAGAACAATCAGAACAGTCAGAAACATCAGAACAATCAGAACCATTAGAACAATCAGAACAATCAGAACATCAAAGCAATCAGAACATCAAAACAATCAGAACAATCAGAACATCAAAACCATCATAGTTTAAAGATCAATCCTCTGGACTTTGTTTCCAAGTTTAAAGACGTTTCTTTTCCAACCAGGAAGCTTTTTCAGTTAAAAATGTAAAAAAAATAGTGTTGAGGTTATAGAGTCAACAAAGCTTTGTTTTTGCCTCTGAGAAAGCTTCCTGGATGGGAAGCGAAACGTCTTCAAACCTGAGGTCCAGTGGATTGTTTTTTTTAACATTTTTGGAATGACTCTGACCTGATGACTGAGGATCTTCATCAGTAAGCTTTGATGTAGTTTAACTACTTTTTGTTATTTCATAGTAGTTTAGCTTTGCCACATTTCTCTGGTGTTTAGCTTCAGTTTAGTGAAGCTAAACGCCAGAATGCATGAAAAACATTCATTTATAAAGAAATAGAAAAAGGACAGAAAGAAATAAAAAAACAGTGAAAAATATAAATACGGTAAAAAAAAATAATAAAAACGAAAATTAAAACAGGAAGAAAATCGAAGCAATCTCTCAGGGTTCTAGTCTCTGTTTAAGTTTAGTTTTAGTTTCTGTGTATTTGTAGTTGTGTTCTAATGGTGTTTTGTTCTTGGGTTGCTCTCTGTTGCCCCCTTGTGGTTGTTCCCTTTCCCCTTGGCTCCCTTCTAGATGCTTCCATTCACACCTGCTCCCAATCAGCTCATTGGTCCAGTCTTTGTTCAGTCTCCCATATATACTCTCCCTGTGCTGTTCCTCATCTTTTCCTGGCTCCTCATGTGTGTTTTTCCCTGATGTCTCCTAGATTCTGCATTTTTCTGTATTCGTTATTTTGGATTTTTGATTTTCTGCCTCAATTGCCTGTGAGTCCTTCACTAAATTAGCAAAACGTATATCTGCCTACTAATCTCTGCATTTGGGTCCTCAAAGCCTCCACTCATTGAAATATTAATAAAAAATGAATTCAAAAATGATATTACATGAAAACATAAGGTATATAATACACAGGAGAATAAAAAGAGAAGGTAATTTAAAGAAAATCTATATTTGTATGTTCAGAGTTGCTGCACTCTTGATGCATTTAATTGAATTTAATTGATTCCATATGTATTTATTAAGTCTTTATTTCTGTATTTGTGTTTAATCATGTCAGAGTCGGTCCTCCATACAAACCCTGAGCACCAAAAACAACTTGAGCTAAAGTAGCTAAAGCCTGAGTTTGAAATGTATTTATGAGCAAAACCATTTAATATAGTAATGAATTGTTTGAGTGCTCAATGAGTAGTTGTTTTGTATATTTTTAATTAGGATTAATCATGTAGATGACTATATTAATGTAATGAATGTTTATAGTATTAATTGTGAGCATTGTCAATTATGTTCATATTTTCCCATTCGTTGGGCGGCGAGCTAGAGGTAGTTATGCTTTAGCCCAGAAAGAAGCCAACTGTATCGCCCATCAGTGCAGCAGGAGGCGCTACAGCTTGCTCCCCCCCCCCAACCACACTCATCCATATACCAACATTATATTGATCACTTCTCACAACCAAACTTGGGACGTTTAAACAGCCTTTTGGGGTTATATGAAGTGCAGGCTGCAAACCAATCATGGATTTGTTCATGAAAAAGAATAAAACTGACTTATCTGTCCTTATTGTGTTCAACTGTAAATTTGTTAACAAAAAATAAACACTTTAATGTGTTGCGTCTAGTGAAGCCCACATTGAACATTCTCCCAGAGCTCAACTTAGACCTTCTGATTATGGCTTTATTTGGTATACTGCATTTACCCACATATGCTCCATGCCTCTGGTTTCACTTTCAAGCTTTAGGTTAGCAGCTAACTTAACAACACTGATGGAATTTATTTCTCATTTTTAAAAACAAATTTTAGCTAATGCGAACCAGTAGGGGTGTCCCAATACGACTTTTTCCTTTGGATATGGATATTGTTTTGATTATTGATGGATATTAATATTGACCCAATACTATATCAGCGCACATCAAATCATTTAGATTTTAGAAAATAATCACATTAATACTGTGTGAAAATTAATAATGATATTACTCAGAGAACAACAGCTAGTAAAGGGTATGAAAACATTTATGATTATCTACAGGTGACATAATTAAATGTTAAAATAAATTTATAAATTAGAAAACATGAAACTTTTATGGCTGATAATCAACCGATTTCTGAATTCAACATTATAGAGGGACATCCCTACGGAGAGTGTCAGAAACATTGAAACCCCTACAGAGCAGATAATTACTGATGGTGTTTCTGGGTTTATCTTTATTTTCTAAAGCAGAACAAACTGGGAATAAAATCCTCTGTTTTCTCAGAATGATTTCAGCTTTAACTATCTAACAGGAACACTGCAAAAAGGACCTAGTAATAAGTAGACATTTCTTAAAATAAGTGTGTTTACTCTGTTGACTGGACCGGACCGGGCATTCGAACCGAGCCATCAGCTCCGGGGCTGGTCCGAACCCGACCCAGTGATGGTATGCTTCCCCCATACTGCCTTAGGGGAAAAGCGGGGGGGAAGGCACGGGGCTGCCAGTGTCAGGTTCGGGTTTGGTCGCTCTGTTCCCAGACTAGCCCCGGAGCTGATGGCTCGGTTCTGCTGCACTGTAGTCGATCAAAATTCTGGAAGATTTTGATACCCCCCCCTCCCCCGGACATATTTTTTAGGTAGGAAAAGTAGAAAAGTAGGACATGTCGTGGAAAAAGAGGACGTCTCAACATATTCTCATTATCAGTTCGTATGAAATCGTATGAAAAGTTATCCACAGTATTTCGTACGTTTTTGACGTTTTTCCTCGAAAAAGCAGATCAGTGCGCATGCACGACCAGACAGACGAAAAAAGCAGATCCGCGGACGGACGTAAAACTGGGAAAAACAGTGCAATAATTACTTCTTCATGTCTCTAACTAGGTTGCTTGCTGTTTTGTATCTTAGGGTGAGGGTTAGGGTTAACTGTATGTTAAATTCTATGTTATTGAATGGTGCGTAAGATGCGCATGCGCAAGGATATCTTGTCTCGAGGCAAGACGTAAAAATACGACAAAATACGACGAAAAAAACGTCAAAAACGTACGAAATACTGTGCATAACTTTCCGTACGATTTCATACGAAGTGATAATGAGAATACACTGGACGTCTGGTCCCCCTACCATATCAACAATCTGATGTTTCAGTGAGTGAGTGCTTGTTGCTATGATGCGTCTTTGCTCAGCAGCTTGGCTCGTTGTAAACCAACCAATCAGAGCACAACCAATGTTACACACCCTATTAGAGACCTGAAGGACGAGATACCCTATAGAATCATTCTATACCCTATAGAATCATTCTATCACTCTATTAGAGACCTGAAGGACCAGATACCCTATAGAATCATTCTATCACCCTATTAGAGACCTGAAGGACCAGATACCCTATAGAATCATTCTATCACCCTATTAGAGACCTGAAGGACCAGATACCCCATAGAATCATTCTATCACCCTATTAGAGACCTGAAGGACCAGATACCCTATAGAATCATTCTATCACCCTATTAGAGACCTGAAGGACCAGATACCCTATAGAATCATTCTATCACCCTATTAGAGACCTGAAGGACCAGATACCCTATAGAATAATTCTATCACCCTATTAGAGACCTGAAGGACCAGATACCCGATAGAATCATTCTATCACCCTATTAGAGACCTGAAGGACCAGATACCCTATAGAATCCTTCTATCACCCTATTAGAGACCTGAAGGACCAGATACCCTATAGAATCATTCTATCACCCTATTAGAGGCCTGAAGGACCAGATACCCTATAGAATCATTCTATCACCCTATTAGAGACCTGAAGGACCAGATACCCCATAGAATCATTCTATCACCCTATTAGAGACCTGAAGGACCAGATACCCTATAGAATCATTCTATCACCCTATTAGAGACCTGAAGGACCAGATACCCGATAGAATCATTCTATCACCCTATTAGAGACCTGAAGGACCAGATACCCTATAGAATCATTCTATCACCCTATTAGAGACCTGAAGGACCAGATACCCTATAGAATCATTCTATCACCCTATTAGAGACCTGAAGGACCAGATACCCTATAGAATCATTCTATCACCCTATTAGAGACCTGAAGGACCAGATACCCTATAGAATCATTCTATCACCCTATTAGAGGCCTGAAGGACCAGATACCCTATAGAATCATTCTATCACCCTATTAGAGACCCGAAGGACCAGATACCCGATAGAATCATTCTACACCCTATTAGAGACCTGAAGGACCAGATACCCTATAGAATCATTCAATCACCCTATTAGAGGCCTGAAGGACCAGATACCCTATAGAATCATTCTATCACCCATTTAAAGTAAGACAATTAGACAATTTGCAATTGAAATATGAGAATGATTTTTTTTTCTTAAATGTAAATTGTCTTGTTAATTTGGCAAAGTGTCTCACTTACCTCCTCAATTCAAGAAAAACTGCACTTATTTTAAGAAAAAATTACTTATTTAGATTAACAATTTTTGTAGAGTAGTCAGATTTCCTGATTCTGACTGTAGCAGCTGGTTCAAGCCTGTCGACTCACACAAAATATATGGAAAATGTAGATCAGCCCAATAAGATCCATTCTGACCGACCATTAAAAACATGTTAACTCTACATAAACAGACTCTACTCTGTTAACAAACCTTTGACTTTGAGCAGAACTGTTGTCCATCCCAGCAGGTCCCCATCCCTCCAGACTCCACATCTATAACTCTCGTCTCCTTCATCTAGGGTCTTCTTCAGAGTCAGACTGATGTCTCCAGTTTGTAGCAGGTCTTTGCTCATCTCCGATTGGATTCTGAAGGACCTGGCATGTCCATAGGTTCGACCAAAACCATTTCGATAACAATAAAGCTTAATTTTTGGGGCAGGTTCATAGCGCCACCACTCAATTTGGGAATCTTTAAGAAGTTCTGGGGACACTTTAAATGGTAGCAGGACAGACTCCACCCCTTTCTCCAACTCCAGGTGACAGTCTGTGAAATCAACGAAGAGGAAGCAGATCTTCATCATTTAGTTTAAAACCACTGACTGCTACTTTCTTTGACAGATTTTCTGAGGCTCTAAGACTAAACTTTATTAATCTATTATTATTGATGCCTTATTGGCTGGGACTCTGGATGCATCCTTAGCCCCTCCCTCTGAACAAAATTGACTTACCTTATTAATGGCCCATAATTTAAACACAATAATAATAAAAATAGAGTAATTAAATATAATTTATTGGAAAAAAAACTACTAATTAATATTAATTTTATAGCTCTGCTGCTATAGGCTTAGACTGCTGGAGGACATAGGGACCCCTTTTCATCATTCTGCTTCGTTCTATCTCTATTCTCCCAGTGGGCCTCAGCAGATGGCCGCTCACACTGAGCCTGGTTCTGTTGGAGGTTTCTTCCTGTTCAAATGGAGTTTTCCTCTCCACTGTCGCTAGAAACATGCAAGGGATTGCTGAAGAGTCAGAAACAAAATGCAAAATTACATAAACTTTTACTTAATCTGACTGTGTTGTCTCTGTAAAATACCTTGAGATAATGCGTGTTGTGAATCGGTACTATATAAATAAACTTAGTCTTATTTATTTCACTATTTTTTCATTTCTTTTTCTATGGTTTACATTCCAGGAAAAAAACCAATATTATTATATAAACATTCCAGAAGAAAGAGTCGCTTTAAAAGACCAAGATGACAATGAAGGGACAATGCAGGACAATGTGTCCTTTCTAGTTCAGTAATGATCTGGAATGGATCAGACATAGCTGGACTGTGCCTATGGTTTGGGAGATGCTTGGTTCAGTCTTGGACCTGAGGTCCATTTCACAAAGCAGTGTCAACAAATTCAGAGTCCAGCTCAGGAACCTGACTTGATTTAACTTGAGGAGGGAAAGTTTGGTTTCAGAACGGCTGATCTGATTTGGTTTCACAAACCCTGTAGGATCAGGTGGAGTGATGCACATGGTTGAGCATTCACCAAATAAACTTTAGTTGTCGTCTCATATCTGGACAACTTAAAAAGTTGAGTAAATGCTTTTTGTGACATGGAAAACTCGTTAACCTGCTTCTTGAAATGGATCTCTATGGTTCTGTGTCAGGAAATCTACTTTGGCATTAAGCAGAATACATAATTGAGCTGCTTTTGTCGCTTTTACATGTTTTTATTTGGGGGCTTATCCAGGATACATTGAATAATTTTCCATTTTAACCAAGAAGTCAAGAAAAATAAAGACCTTAAAGGTGGAGATCCTACAATTTCAGTCTGAACTGATTCTGATTAATCACATTTCTGGAATAGACACCAACAGATGTGAACCACTGACCTCTGACATGAAGCTGAACCTGCTTCTTCATCAGAACGTCTCCCCCTCCGCTGTTGATGGTGCAGGTGTAGATGTTACTGTCTTTATACGTGAGATGTTTCAGGGTCAGACTGAGGTCTCCGGTTTGTAAAAAGTCTCCATTTATTGCTGTTCTGTCTCTGTATATCTGGTCCTGATTTTTGAGGACGTCTGAACCATCCTGCAACATGTGGACCAGCCTGTTATTACTGTCCCTCCACTGAACTGTTGAATCCAGCAGCTGGACTGTGGTTTCACAGGGTAGACGGACAGCATCCGTCCCTGAATCCACCTCCACCTGTTGGACTGAGAGGACAACAAAGACAAAAAGGAAACTTAAATCAATTAAAATGTTCAGCCATGTTGATACGTGGTGGCGGCCATCTTAGGGCAACATTTTACAGCTCTTTGTTGTAGCTGAGCGCCGCCTCGTAGCCGGGCCTCCTGATATAATCTGAGCTAACTCTGTTTTCTACACGCTGCTGTATTTTAATACCTTCCAGATTAATTTTTCACTGTAAAACCAAATGATTGCTTTCAGCGTCTCTCCATCAGGGATTTATTCACATTCATCTGCTGCTATTCTAAAGGACACTTTAAATGCATTAAGCATTAAAACTTGAACATTCCTCAGAGACTCTTAAACCACTTTCTCACCATTTTTATCAGCTTTTTATTTACTTGTTCTTATTAGTAGTGATTACTGTTTGCGTAGTTATTAGATCTAATAATACTAAAATAGGGATTATTAGTTAATAAAGGCACCAATGTTTGGTTATTTGTGGTTATTTATGCAGTGAATGATTAATCACTCAGGTTAGATCCGTCCTCCTTTTGGTTAAAATTTGAAGAAACAATTTATTTGGTTAATGACTAATAACTCTGCTGATATCCATAGTCTAAATTACTAAATTGGGTGAAAGACAACTGGATTTTTAACAGCAAATCATAATAACCTATTAATGAACTATAACTCGCAGTTCTAGTTATTAAATATATTCATAGTCTTCAGGTAAAATTTAACAAAATTCATTAATTAATTAATTGAATAATTAATCAAAAGGTCTATACATCTGAAAAGATCTAATCTGCACCATGTTGATGCGTGTAGTTTCACAAACAAGTTGCAATGTGATTATGTAGGCGTATTTTATGTTTTTTTCACTTATTAATCCTACTGTCGGCACGTTTCCAAAGTACTGAAGATATCAGCAGTCTTGCTAAGGGAAACTCTGCTGCTGTGATGTCATAACACCACAACCAACTGAGGCTTTGGGGAGCAGGAAGGTCTCCAAACTGAAACATTTCTCCTCCTCCTACTAATAAGTATTTATAACTGATCAGACTAATGATCAGATTGAGTCCACTGACCTTTGACCTGGAGCTGAACCTGTTTCTTCACCAGAACTCGTCTCTTCCTGCTGTAGACGGTGCAGGTGTAGGTGTCTGAGTCTGCACGTGTTGGGTGTTTCAGAGTCAGACTGAGGTCCCCGGTCCTCAGCAGGTCTTCATGCATCGTAACTCTATCTCTGTAGAACTGGATCTGCCTCTCCGGCTTGTTACAGCGGTTCTGATGCAGGTAGACCGTGTTGCCGTGACTGTCTGTCCACTCCACCGTAGCGTCCTCTGGGAGGGGAACTGCGGTCGTGCAATGCAACAGGACAGACTTCACCCCAGAGTCCTCCAGAAGCCTTATTTTGTAACCTGAGAGAAGAAGAAGAAGTAAAAGATAAATTCCACAACAATGAACCAAACTTATGGTTTGAAGAGGGTCTTCTGGAAAAGGTCTGGATGTCCTTCAATAACCTCATATGACTCCAGGCAGCAGACTGGGAGCCTAAATAGTCTAAATCAGTCACAGAATTAGTAATCTGCAGGTTTACTAGTGGTTCCTAGAATTTCTAAAAGTAGAATGGGAGGCAGATCTTTTAGTTATCAGGCTCCTCTCCTGTGGAACCAACTACCAGTTTTAGTCCGTGAGGCAGACACCCTGTCTACTTTTAAGGCTAGGCTTAAAACTTTCCTTTCTGATAAAGCTTCTAGTTAGAGTGGCTCAGGTTATCCTGAGCTATCTCTATAGTTATGCTGCTATAGGCTTAGACTGCTGGAGGACATAGGGACCCCTTTTTCATCATTCTGCTTCATTCTATCTCTATTCTCCCACTCTGCAGAATCTGTTAGTTCAATCTCTAACGTTCTGCTCTCTCTGCTTTTTCTGTCAATGAGTCGATGCAATCAGCTGGTTTTCCTTAGATAGAAAACTTTGAATCAATCTGACTGGATGATCTGGTGAACTGGAAAGTGACCTGAGATGACATGATGTGAATTGGAGCTATAGAAGTAAACTGAATAGAATGGAATTGAAAACTAATCTCACCTGCTTCAGCTTCAGTGACTCACCTTTCTTAAAATTGTGACGAAAATGACAGAGCAAGCCAGCAACGATCGCCAGAACCAGGAGGACCAGGAGAACCAGGAGAACTTTGCCCCACAGTGGAAATATTTCTGTGGAGAACAATGAAGATCATTTTCATCTACAACGTCTCACCTCTTAAAGCAGCAGCTGCTTGGTTAGTTCCTGACCTTTGACCTGTAGGTTAACAGTCCTCAGTGTCAGTCCGTCTCTGCTGCAGGTGTAGTTTCCAGTGTCGGACACCTGCAGACGGGTCAGATTCAGCCCCAGGTCTCCAGTGTCCAGGGCATCGCTCCTCATGGAGGTTCTGTTTGTGTAAAGCTGGTTCTGCTTGGTCAGGTCATCTCCTTCTGGTCCACGCTGGTGAACGGTGGAAGGACTGAGGTCGGACCGGCTCCACACCACTGTGGCGTTCTTTAAATCCACAGAGGGAGACTTACAGCGCAGAAGAACAAACGGGTCCCCTTCAAACACCTCTAGAAAGTGGACCTCCAGGGACACTGTTAGAATAGAGATAACTGCCGTGATTCATGATGTTCTGCCTGAGCTCTGATAGAAACATCTCACTGAAGGTTCTGCTTGGAGGATAAAGCTATTGGGTCAGAATGACATGTTAGATATTGGCCATGCTAAAGGTTCTGGTTGAAAGTTTTCACTGTAGACAGTCTACCTGTCAGAACCTGTTAATCTAAATACCAAATCAGGTCAAACATCCAGTGGACCTCCTAAGGTGGACGCTCCCGTTTCATCGTCACAAAGGAACGAAGCTTTGGAAAGCATGGATGATGTCATGAAATACATTTAGCCGCTCCGCCTGCATTTTTCAACAAGCTTTGACAGAAAAGGGATTTTTTGAGACCTGTTTTTACTTGTTGAGCAACCAGAAAAAGGAAATGGGCGGGGCTTATTCTACATACAGGGAACCGAAACATCAAACTGCTTCTGGCCTTCAGATTATTTTACAAAACGGAGAGAGAAAATAGATCCAATGACACATTTACTGACCCGGTTCTCTGGAGAGCAGAACATCAGATCAAACAGAACCACATGTGAGAGAAAGAACCCAGAGACTGAAGTGAGGATGATGATGAGAGAGGAAGCTGATCTTACCGTGCAGCAGGATCCCAAACACCACCAACATCTTCATCATCTTCCTGTCAGAGAGCAACCAGGAGCAACTAGGAGAACCTTTCAGAGCCCTGGAGGACATCAGCTCCCAGCAGCTGATCACCTCCTGACTCTCTGACAACACTTCACCGTCTCTACACCTCCGGGAAGCAGCAGTTCTCACCCACAGGAGGAGGGAGGATCTGAACGCCACTCAGCTCTCTGATCACTGGGAGCAGAACCAGAACCTCTGGGCTCAGAACTGGATCAGGTTAAAGTGGACCAGAACCTCTGGGCTCATCTGCTGAGGAGCAGAAACTCTCTGCTAGGTGGAGGCTTCAGATCCTGCTCTACTGGTTCTGTTGGATCTGAGAGGAGGAGGAACAGTAGAGCAGTTCATGGCAGGTCAGCCTTTAAACTCCGCCCCTTTTCTGACAGGTGAGACAGTCTCTGCTCTGATTGGATGAGCATCAGTTTGCTGCATATTTCTGCAGCAGAGTGTTTAGGCTTTAGACCAGAAGATAACAATGTTTTTAAAAGAAGAAAGAAAATGGCCTCAGAAAGTAGAATAATAGAAACTGTTCTACAGCCAACAGAACTCAGAGCCAGTGAGCTTTACAGCAGCGCTTCTAGATCTGGGCCAGGAGGAGGAAGGTTCTGGTAGAGAACAACTGGGCCAGGAGGAGGAAGGTTCTGGTAGAGAACAACTGGGCCAGGAGGAGGAAGGTTCTGGTAGAGAACAACTGGGCCAGGAGGAGGAAGGTTCTGGTAGAGAACAACTGGGCCAGGAGGAGGAAGGTTTCTGGTAGAGAACAACTGGGCCAGGAGGAGGAAGGTTCTGGTAGAGAACAACTGGGCCAGGAGGAGGAAGGTTCTGGTAGAGAACAACTGGGCCAGGAGGAGGAAGGTTCTGGTAGAGAACAACTGGGCCAGGAGGAGGAAGGTTCTGGTAGAGAACAACTGGGCCAGGAGGAGGAAGGTTCTGGTAGAGAACAACTGGGCCAGGAGGAGGAAGGTTCTGGTAGAGAACAACTGGGCCAGGAGGAGGAAGGTTCTGGTAGAGAACAACTGGGCCAGGAGGAGGAAGGTTCTGGTAGAGAACAACTGGGCCAGGAGGAGGAAGGTTCTGGTAGAGAACAACTGGGCCAGGAGGAAGGTTCTGGTAGAGAACAACTGGGCCAGGAGGAGGAAGGTTCTGGTAGAGAACAACTGGGCCAGGAGGAGGAAGGTTCTGGTAGAGAACAACTGGGCCAGGAGGAAGGTTCTGGTAGAGAACAACTGGGCCAGGAGGAGGAAGGTTCTGGTAGAGAACAACTGGGCCAGGAGGAGGAAGGTTCTGGTAGAGAACAACTGGGCCAGGAGGAGGAAGGTTCTGGTAGAGAACAACTGGGCCAGGAGGAGGAAGGTTCTGGTAGAGAACATCTGGGCCAGGAGGAAGGTTCTGGTAGAGAACAACTGGGCCAGGAGGAGGAAGGTTCTGGTAGAGAACAACTGGGCCAGGAGGAGGAAGGTTCTGGTAGAGAACAACTGGGCCAGGAGGAAGGTTCTGGTAGAGAACAACTGGGCCAGGAGGAGGAAGGTTCTGGTAGAGAACAACTGGGCCAGGAGGAGGAAGGTTCTGGTAGAGAACAACTGGGCCAGGAGGAGGAAGGTTCTGGTAGAGAACAACTGGGCCAGGAGGAGGAAGGTTCTGGTAGAGAACAACTGGGCGGATCTTTCTGGAGCCGTTCTGAAGATATTCCAATCACTTTCCCCCACACATCCGCTGTTAGGTTTTTTATATTTTTATCTTTTAAAAACAAAGCGGAGTGCGGATTACGTCATACGATGATAATATAATATTTAGTGTGTCTCAGCCCCCCCCTTCAGTGTCCACCATATTGGATCAGTCCATTTGCTGCACATGTTCAGAAAGGTCCAAACAGACAGCAGCAAACCATTTGAAAACAAACCATGCAAAGAGCAGTGTTGCCAACTTAGCGCTTTAGTCGCTATATTTAGCCACTTTTCAGACCCCTCTAGCACTTTGATTTCTAAAAAGCTCCTGGCGCCAAATCTAGAGACTTTTTTCTGCTACTGGAGACTTTGGAGACAACATCTAAAAGCAGCGAACTCTGCTCTCCAGAGCCAGTAGATTGGTAACCCCGCCTCCTGCTCTCCTCTATCTTGTCTGCTGTCATGATTCATGCAGCTATTATTTCATCCAAATGAAAAATGGAGAACAGATAAGCAGATCATGGCTTGTCTACAGTGAAAAGAAGGACTGGGTTATTTACTTTGGCCTTTTTGGAAACACAGGAAGGAGCAATCAGCTAAGTGAGCTTAGTGCTTGGAAAAAATCTTTCATTCCTTTAGAGACAGCATGAAAAGTCAGCTGAGTACAAAACATAGAGAGGAAAACAAGAAGAAAAGGGACAAGAAGAGAGGGACACAACCTAGAACAGATAATGGATGTCTATTCTATTAACATTTCTCTATCTGGAGAATGGGGCTGTTCTATGTCGTCTCCATTCAGAGGGCCCCCTGCCTGTCTTTGCCTAGGGCCCCACATTCCCTAAACCTGCCCCTGTTCCCTGATCAGCAGGGTTAGTCCTCCCTGCAGCTAATGTGAAGACATTGAACTGCTGGCAGCAGCTGGAAAGCCCAGATGTTTCCTTCATGTTCCTGCATCAGGAGCAGTTATGCTGTTTATGTTGATTTCATAGATTTAATTTTCAAAATATGTTAAAAATAATATTGAGTTAAGAAAATCAGACAATCTATGGTTAGAATGCAGGTTTAGGGGCCTCTGTAAATGTTTTAGGGTGGAACCAATGTTCAGCCTGCTGTTTAGGTTGGATCAATATTGCAGTTACACGGTTTACTCGATAGAGGGCAGCATGCTGTATTCTCCCTCCATGTGAGGCTTCCAGTGAAGATCTTTACCTTTTATCCTTCATTAAAGATGCTGCTGCAAAGCCTATTTCTATGCACCCTTCAATTTAATGAGGAAAACGAGGAAAAGTTTATGTTGTTATGATTGTTTCATTGTTTATTCTCCATGAGAAAACCTTATTGCTTTTAAATTGATTATTTTATGTTGTTTGTAAAGTTACAGCATCATTGATGACACCTGTGGAGGACTGTTAACTCTCACCCTGTGGGAGTGAGACTGACTCACCCATCTCAGCGTGTTCCACAGTTCCACTTATTTATGTATAAAATACCACGGGGATCAAAATCCAGTCCGTGTTTTAATGCAACCTTAGTGCTAACACATGATGCCAGGTTCAGATCCAGTCCGTATTCCCACCTGTTCACTGTGCCAGATATTGAATAAAGACCATTGTTATGAGGTATTCATTAAAATTTTTATCTCGTCTCATCTGCACTAGGATAATTCTCTTTGTAAATTATTGAAGATTTTAAGCAATCTAGTGCTTTAGTAAATATGAATAAAAAATACAGCAGCTAGATTAAATGATTGCTGTGGAGCCTGAGTGCAGGATCACATCCAATGGTTTGGTTTCTCTTTACCTGCTGCTGTTTTAGTCCCAGTTTTAGTCCAGGTTAAATAATTATTGCTCAGTTTAGTTTAATAATCTGCTGTTGGAATTTAGAAGTAATTAAACCGACAGAAATATTTTAATTCTTAAAGCTTCCAGGTTTGCATCTCAAACCCATAGAAGCTCCACAAAAAGAAAAAGAAGAATCATTTTATTTTTTTAAAGATCAGCCACTAAAGAAAAGACCGACCGCATCCAGAGAGGATGAGCAGAACAGCTCAGTTATCCTGGATTCATGGAGGAGAAACCTCAGGGATGTTCTTCTTTTATTATTACTTATATTATTCCTTTATTGAATATGTTTTAAAACTTAATTTCCATCACATCTACCAACATCAATCATCCAGAGAAGAACTGCCTCCTGTCATGGTGAGTTTTTATAGAATTTACAGCCTCCTAGAAGCTCTGAATTGTTTAACTGTTTTGTCAATAATAAGAAAAACTAATAACATAATGAATGAAGCATTTTAATCTTTAGCCTATTAGCAAATATTCCCACACAGTGTAGTTAGCACTGGTTTCCATTCTCTGGTTCCTGTATCAGTAATCCAGTAATAACTTATTAGTTCCCAATTGTTTAATTTCCTTTCCTGCTTGTTTCCAATGAAACGGCAGTAAATAGAAGGAAAGCAGCTGCTGTAGGTGGGGGTGCTGGGTTGACTGGGGGGTCGGGTGGGGGAGGGGGTCTCTGCTGGTTGTTTAGTGCCCTTTGATGTTTTCCCACCTTCACACACTCCCTCCTGTTGTTCTTCCTCCTGTTGCTCTCCTGGGCTCCACCTCCTGCTGTGCTGCCACCACCCCCTCCC